GGGAAGGGAGTGGGGATGGGCCAGTATTGGGAAGGAGGGTGTCGCCGCCAGATTCACTTGCCGGCGTGCCCGAGACACCCGGTCACATCAGTGGCTTTGTGGGGCGCCCCGACGCTGGTGCTGTCTGGGGGCTCCAGGGGCAGTCGAGGCACGTGGAAGCGTTGCTACAGTGCACCCAGTTTCCATGGGGGGACATATGCGTGGTTCATCGCGAAGACGGTCAAGCATGGGCCTGGGGCGTGCATCGGGGAGCGAGCTCGATCCAGAGTTCGCGTGGAAGGCCCGAGAGGAGGAGATGAGGCGCTCTAGCGAGCGCGAGGTCGGTCGGGGCTGACAGGCTGGCATACTTCAAACCCCCGTGCAAGGTTGATTGATAGGGGCCAGCGCGGAGTGCCGCCGCCGGCTGGTGGCCCAGCAAGCGTAGTGCAATTCCAAGGAAAGACCATGCTACTGGAGGTTTGAAAATTGTTACTCTACGTGGCAGAAGCCGTGGGGATATGTCGCGGCCGAGGGGTGCGCGGGGGCGGACCCGGGCAAGAGTTTGCAGATGTTGAGCATGCAGAGGTCTATGCCGAGGTCAAAAAGAACAGATTTTCCGGGTTGCCCGGGGACGACTGCGGGCCAGGCATGCGTCGAATATTCCGACAGGTCGATGCGCGGCGCTCGGGGCGCCGCCGGCAATTGGGGGGATTGTTGCGTGGAGTTGCGCGCGATGTGGGTTCGACAGCGGGGGGTGCGCCGTCGTGGGCGTCTGAAATGCGACCAGGCGAATCTGGCGAACGGTGCGCGGGGGCGATCTCACATTATTGGGTGACGGCGTTGATCGTGAACGGTGCGAGGGTGAAATGGGGCAATCGAAGGAAAGAGCCAGGGCAGAGTTCTACACGGGGCCAGAATAGTCGAGATTATTCAGGGCCCTCAGCCGAACTGCAGAATGGGGCCGGGATGCGTTGTGGCATGGGGCGGGTCATGGGCGTGTCGGGATATTTGTCAAAGCGCCAAGCTTGGGGCAGTGCAGAGTGACATGTGAGATAGCAGGTGGAAAAGCGGCCTTGCGCAGAAGAGGATGAGGGGCCCCTACCAAGACAGGAGTTCAGGAATGCAGAACTTGCGTGCCCAAGGCTACTTTACGGGCACTGGGCCGTCTGGATTTGCAGACTTCAGTCAAGGAGCTTGCGCCTTCTATGTCAGCCCCGACCCGAGGGGCGTGGAAAGGTCTTGCAAGATTGGGGATGTACTTCAAGAGCCATGGCAGATGTGGGTATCCGTATTTGAATCAAGAACGTCCAAGGGAGTTACCTGTGTGGACAGACGCCGACTACGCAGGATGTAGAAGACACGTAAATCGACGCATGGGCGAACAGTGATGCGGGGATCACATTTGATAAAGTCGCGGGTTTCGACCCAGGGTGTACTGACCTTATCATCTGGAGGCGCGGGGTATTATGGAATGGTCAAACAGTGCTTGGGTTGCAGGCGGTTCTCAAGGATTTCGAGGTCGATATGGCATCTCGCTGACGAGCGATGCGCGTGCAGCCATTGCCATTGTGAGTTGGCGCGCGCTGAGAAACGTCAGACACATCGAAGTTTGCCAGCGTGGGATACAAGAGAAAATGAAACAAGGAAACATCCGAGTGATCAGTGCAGGAGTTCGTGCGAATATTGCAGACACTTCGACTTAATTTGTGAGCAAGGACAACGTGTCCATGCGTATGCGAGGTATGAATCGACACCTGTGGTCAACGTTTGGCATGAACTGGCACTTGCTACGGAGTGTCAACTCAATCCAGGCCATACCTGTCATCGCGAGCTGCTTTGCCAGGGATTTGGGCCCAGGACCAGTTGGGAATCCACGTGCCCGTCTGTGCGCTTCAAACCCTTGCACGCGAATGTGCTAACAACCTGCGTGCAAGGTTTGGAGCTTCGCGACACCAGAAAAGTTTTTAGTGTGTTAGGTGGATCCTGCCCATTTGCGCCACAAACTTTTGTTTTGTTTTGATTGCTCTGTTCACCTTCTTCAAACCAGGTACCATTTAAACATAATTGCCTTGTGAATATGATAGCTTGCGGTCGAGGCCATCTGTTTTTTTGTGATGATGAATTATACGGGCAGTTTTGACGATCAGACTTCGGCCGACAGGTGATCTAAATCCTTGAGCCCCGGTGCCTGGCAGGAATTTCAATTTAGTAGGTTTGACATCTCACGCATGTTACGCGTTCCACCGTATCAGTTTCAGCCCTGCCTGCACTGATCGTCGCCGACACTGTTTGGCTCAAGTACCATTCGCCCTCTCGTAAAACGGCCCTTGCCCAATTCTCAGGAAGAGGAGGAGGAGGTTCAGAAACATAAGGTTTTCGGCGACACGATCAACGCGTGTCGCGTGCGTACCCACTGTTCGGTCTCGGCCTCCGAAAAAACCAGACACGTGCAGCTGATTCGCAAACCATTTTTTTTGCTACCCTGGCAGGTTTGTCCTTCCCGAGTCCGACGTGCATGCGCGGACCTCCGATTCGTTTTTTTGTTTTGTTTTTTGGTTTTGAATCCGTTGCGCCTGGACGTAACAACCGCCTCCCCGGATCGCTTCTTCATGCGAGATCGTTGTTGGTTGTTCTCGGGGTCGAACGTGGCTCTTTCGGACGCCGTGAAGTGGCGACATCATTCCGACTTGATTTGTTCGAGACGCTCGAGGTTAGGGGCAGCGCGAGCAGCATCTCAAGTGGAGCTTTCGGCCACCTTCACGTAGGGCTTGGCGAACTGCACCAGAATGGTCCGCGAGGGGCCTGCGGGGCGCGAATCGGGGCGAGAAGGCCTGTCGTCATGTTTCACTTCGCCCGGACGTCACGGGCCCTCAAAGCAACCTTTGCCCGGCGGCTCGGTACATCCAGACCTCCAGCGGATCTTCCCTTCGTTGTTCAATGCTGGCGTTCTTCCTGCATGTGGGCACCTGGGGACGGCTCTTGGCTCCCAGGGCCATCCAACATACGTTGCCCAGGGGCGGGAAGCCCCCCCCCCAGGGGAGGGGCTGAGATCTCGGGGGCCACGGCCACTGATGAATCCGCCAAAGGTCTGGGGAGTTTGCATGACTCGGGTAGCGCCGACCGTGGGGGACTAGCCCAGGGGGGGGGGAAGCATCGACCCACAATCGAGCATTCATCGCCGTTCGGGGCCTGGGTGCCTGTTCCGCCCAGGACCGCTCGGTTTCGCGATCGAGGGCCCATCGCCGATCTATAGGGGATGCATTGCCGATTCCAAGATTTTACTTTCCCCTACACCAGTTCCCACCTCGTATCGTTTCCCCCTGTCGCCATAGGGTGGAAATCCAAGGAAGACCATGAGCCCTACGGGGAAGTCATGTAGGGCGTGCAAACTGATGTAATTTATGCAATCGGCGCAACTTCTGAGGCCCAGATCAGCTTGGACAGGTCGTGGAACATCCAGCGCCAGTCGAGGGACAGCAGAATTCGTTACGCCCTCAGCGAGGCAGTGGTCCACCCATGCGACGTAGAAAAACGGGGCCCGTTGCGGGGACATTCGCGCGTACGCTGCCCGCGTGAGGTCTCGCGCAGGCGCCCGCTTCTCCACCTGAGCAGGGCCGCCGCGTGACCCGCCGCGAGGGTGGACAGGGCGAACCACCGCGCACGGTCACCGCTCGCCCGTGGGTCCGCCAGCGTGAGTGATGGAAGAAAACGGGGTCGTTTGCACCGACATTCGCGCGTAAGCTGCTTGCGTTAGGTTGTGCGTAAGCGTCCTCGTTTCCAATGTAGCGTGCCGTGCTTGTGGCCCGCGTAAACGGCGGCGTGAGGTCGCTGTGCCACCTCGCGTAAGGCCAGCTTTTTTCCGTCGCTCACATGAGTCTTGACCACCTCAGCCGGCGGAGCACAAGAGCTCTCGACCCCAGCAGAAAGCGAAGGGAGGATATTCGAAAATCAGGGTTTTGTTCTGGCCTCTGGGGGACTTCTCGTCGGGGGCGGGGCGAGAGGGGGGTGACCTTAAAAAAGGCAGGGTCTAGAAACTGTTCTGCCTTCGCGAAGTCTTCCTAGACGCCTGCGAGCCCTTTGGAGAAGCCTTCCCTGGCCGCCCCTTGGCCCTGACCCCCCCTCCCTAAGAATCTGCTTTGCGCGCCATCAACTAATAGCTTCTTACTGCTGCTCAGTAAGTTCTGATCGCGCTTCGAATCAGCGTCTTGGTGGCTAGTGCGATGGTGGCCATTGGTACCTGCCAGCGCAGTTACAAGCGACCTCAATAGGCATAACTACCATTCCGTATTTAACATGGTGGTGCGCCTGTTTTGCAAATTGTCCGCCAAGGGCCCCCGCCCCGCTGAGCACCATTTGGGATCACGAAACGGTGGTCCGGAATTTCGGGTTTATTCCCCGATCAGGCTTGCCAAGGGGGGGTTCTTACTTGGTTCAAGGTTGGTGCCTCCCATCGCTACTTTCTCCGTTGCTCCGAGGTTCCTCGGGTTCCTCGGGTTCCCCGCCCCCGGTGACTCCTACTGTTACGTTGCCAGTTTCCCGGAGGTTCTTCGGGTTCCCCGCAACGATTTGCCAAGCAATGCCAAGCAATGCGCCCATGCAATAGGACATTTTCCCCGATTGGGGTCGCGATAGTTTCATATTTTGATGATCCAAGCTGTTTCTGCACCCAGAGGGACAACCAGCGCTCCAGCCACCATTCTGGACATTTCTGGTGACTCGAACCGCGCCAGTTGAGTCTTCAAACCTCGAGCGTCGATTTTAGGTCCCTCCTCCTCCCAGATCTTCGACGACGTGATTTTCTCATGACGTGGACCCTGGTGATTTGGACCTTTCCACGGGACAGGTTTCTTATCCAGGGTCGTTTTTGGATTCTCCCAGCGCTTGGTGAGGGCCCCCAGAGTCCGATAACGGACAACAGTTGTCTGCCGATATGTTTTCGTGGCGTGAGGATATCAGGGTTTGGGCGGTAGGGCCTCCCGTGACCTGCTCAGGGCCCCGGGCGGCAATGGGCCCGGAGCCAGGGTTTCCGGCGCGGCGGCGCCATGTTCCGTTCGCGCGTGCCAGAGCCCATGCCACGGACGCCCTCGGTGGTGCCGCTTCGCCTCGCCGCTGTCGCCGCCGCTGTTCGTCGTCGTCGTCTTTGACGTCGAGTACTCATTTGCGAAGAATGATTATTGCTGATCTCCGGAAACGGTTCCTCGCGCTCTCGCCTCGACGCGGGCTACACTTTGAGATTTTCTCTGAAAACGAGGCTTCCGCTCGAGCGTTTGCTTGATTGCGATACTTCCTCACAATTTACCCAGAGACACCCTGGCCAGAGAGGACGCCGATCTCAGGAATGGCGATCCGCGTGGGACCCACCTCCGCTGGGCCTCCCAGGAGCCCACGAAAGTGGCGACAGTTGCCCAGATCGCCAGCTCCCCCGGGGGCGGCGAGGTCTCGAGGTGGTCCGCGTGGGACCCACCTCTGCTGGGCCTCCCAGGAGCCCACGAAACTGCCGACACTTGCGCAGATCACAAACCCCCCAGGGGGCGGCGAGGTACCGAGGTGATCTGCGTATGACTCACCTCTGCTGGGCTTCCCAGGAGCCCGCGAGAGTGGCGACAATTGCGCAGATCGCAAGCCCCCCCGGGGGCGGCGAGGTACCGAGGTGATCCGCGTGGGACCCACCTCCGCTGGGCCTCCCAGGAGCCCACGAAAGTGGCGACAGTTGCGCAGATCGCAGCCCGACGGCACGAGGGAAGAGGAGAGGGGAACACCGGAAACAGGAGAGAAGGAGGAGGGGAGGAGAGGGGAGGAGAAGGAAGAACGGGGCGACCACACTGCTCTATTCAAAACGAGTGCCCCGTACGGGAGGGTTGGGAAAAACCCAGGAAGCCTTTGAGGGCCCCAAATCGTTGAACTCCTAAAGGAAATTAATGATTTTCGCGTTTCCGCACTTTCCCTTCTATACGATTCCGAGGCTTGCGCAGGGCCTCCAAGGGAGTCCCTGGACGCAAGAAGCGACCAACATGATATTACATGAGTTGGCCGATCAAGCCTAGCTAGAGCTTGAGTGCGAGCGAAGCACGCGCGATGGTTTTAGTATATATATATATATATATATAGGTGTATATCTAGAAATCCCCCCAGACATCCGACGTCATGTTTTATTGCATGACGTTGGCCTCTTGACCTCTCGACCTCATCCTGGGGGGCTAGTTGTTCACCCAGAGTCGTTTCCCGATGGTCACGGGGCTGAGAAACAGCATGACGAGGAAGACGAGGAGGACCCGCGTAAATCCAGGTCGCATCAACGATGTTACAAGAAATCCTCTCTCCAAGTTCCCTCTTCACAGGTCCCTTCAGAAGTTCCTTTCATTATGGGAAGTGCCTCAATCGTGCCCAAACGCCATTCCTGTGACTTCAGCGCCGCGAATCAATGTGACCTCTGCGTCTTGACAACCCTAAATCGTGCCAGAGCATCGTTTCTGGGACTGCAGCACTGCGAATCAATGTGATTCTTGTGTCCTGACAATCCTACGCGGTGCCATACGAATCGTCGAAACTGGTGCGACTTTTCACAAGATAAATGGGCGCGGCGCTAAGGCGAGAGTTACTTTTTCAAAACGACCCGCCCTCTATACGTGAAACTGCTGCATGTTGCAAGCTTCAGGATCATCAATGGTGAGGACGTCTCAGGCGAATCGTCCGGCCTGCCCTGCCCACACGTTTGGGTGTGCGACGGGGTGGAGTTATGCATGAGGAAACGGGATGGAGGAGGGGTGAGGAGCAAGGGAGAGGGAGGAGAAGGAGTGAGGATTCCCCTCCCTCCTCCAGCACCTCGGGGGAGCGTCTCCTGGCCGCCTTTGGCTTTCTGGGGGCTCTCTGGGGGCCCTCTGTGGGGCGTCATGGTAGCCTCTTGGGGTCCCCGTGGGGCCGCCCCGTGGTGTCCTGCGGCCCTCCAAGTGCGCATCTGGGCCAAACCTTGAGAGATCTGGAGGTCCCTGGAGGTCCCCGGAGGTCTCCAGAGATCGCTCAGAGGCCGCCCCTGGAGGCTCCTGAGCTCCTGGATGTCCCACAGATCTCCGAACGCTACAAGTCCTGAATCGCCGTGTGCAAACTTTAGCAGAGAGCGCATGTCAGGCAGTGCCAGGGAGAGTCACCACCGAGGGGGTCGCCACCTTTTCTTGAGGTTCGAGGATCGACCAGAGGGGGTAACCACAATCCCCTTTGGCCATGCCTGGGCCTACGGGTCGCTTTTGGCCATCCTCGGAGGTCGCGTCAGGTCTCCAGGAAAAGTCTGCAGGAGGTTACCAAATGTCCCCGAAGGCGTCGTGAGCAATCCTCGAGCGTCGTGAGCAAAGCTAGCAGAGAGACTTTGGGATCTCTTTGGCTTCGTTGCCTTCTCGCGGCCCTGCGCTGGGCCCATGGCCCACACTCCCCCAGAGACGTCTTCCCATAGCCAGCGTCCGCTTCTGGATTCGTCTTCACCTCGGCGTCCCGTCCTGGCGCCCCAGGGATGCGGAAATGGAGCGACCCAGGTTGGGTGGCATAAAGCGGTTCTGTCTGGCCCGTGGAGGTGGATTCCGAACGTCGATTTCGGAACATGGTTTTCCATTTCCGAACCTCGTCTTTGCGAACATCATTCGCAGCATCTAGAGAAGAGACTTCTCGGGCTTCCTAACCTGTAAGTGTCTCTTCTCCTTGCGGCCCTGCGCCCCCAGCCGCTTGAGAGGTGGCGGCCACGGCGACGCCCTCGCCGCCGCCCAGCGCGCTCGGCGCCGCCGAGGAGGCGGCCTCGGACCGACGCGGCGTCCCGCGTGTCGCCGCTGTCGGCATCGTCGACGATCTCGGGGTTTGTTGTCTGCCTTCCTGGAGGCTCCCGTCGGACAGCTTGGCTTGCAAAAGTGCCCAGGATGGACCTTGCGGGAGGAGCCCAGGGACCAGATGTGGGCGGGCCTCGGTCAGACGGCCTCGATCGTCCTCGTCTTCGCCGTCGCCGTCGTCGATCGAAGGTCCGTCTTGCCCCCCCTCTCCACTGTCCCCTCATCCCTTCCTCCACCCCCCCCCTCCCCCTCCCTCCCTCCCTCCCTCTCTCCTCCGCCCTCCTTCCTCCCGCCTCCTCGGTCCCTCCCCCCTTCCTTCCCCCTTGCCTCCTTCCCTCGCTCCCTCCCCCGCCGCCCGTTCTGGCGGCCGGCGGCGGCCCGCTGCGCGCGCGGTCCTCCGCGGAGGCCCCCGGGCCAGCGCATTCCAACAAGGACGCCAGGGGGAGCTGATGAGCAGGAGGAGCGGGAGGGCCGATGATCTACAGGACGTGTACTAGTGTCATTTCGCGGGCGAAGAACGGTATGACAAATTTGTTCCGCCGTCGGGACGCCTGCCTCCCGGGCGGCTGTGAAAAGTTTATACCCCTACGTGGCATCGTAGAGGTACAAGCTTTGCGGCTGCCCCGTGGGGCAGGCGTTCGCGACGGCGGAAAAGTTGATCATATACTGCTCTTCGCCCGCTTAATAACGTGTGTGTGTGTGTGTGTCCCCGTTCAACTCCACCGATGGATCATTACGCCGCCTGCGTCGTATTGAAGGGCTTCGAGGGACAAGCGCACGTCGGCGCTAACACACGCCTGAGGATCATCGCGAGGGGCGGAATGATGATGTGCAGGTGTGAAGGTAGAGCACGAGCATGCGTACGAGTATGAGTTGAGCTGGCCAGGTTGGGCGAGCCAGCGGGCCCCTTCCCACTCCCACGTTCCCCTCCCGCAGCAACGAGGCCAGCTCGCCATTGGGACAGGGGCGCGTTCCCACCTGGCCAATACAGGGAACTCGCGCGCGGTCCCGCTTCCGACGACTTGGCGAGGGGGAAGCAAAAACGTTGGCCACTCACGGGCAGGAGCAGAACCTGGAAAAACATTCTTTGCGCAACGCTGCGGCGAGAGCACCGTTTAGCTAGATCTTGCGAGGCCAAAGTTCCGATGGGTGCGGCAAAGACAAAGCATGCGCCGTGCCGAAGCAGCACTGCCACTTTCATGCAAAATCGTTGCGTCGAGTTGCCGAGAACAGCATTTTCCCGCTCTCGCGCGGCCCCGCTGCCGCTGTCGCTTCACTGCGACCTGGCGTCCGAAAAACCCGCGCAGGGCTGGGGTGGGAACCTTACTCCCACACGAACTCTGCATGGGACTCGGGTCACAGTTCGCCTGGTCGCGCGCGGCCCCGCCCCCGAATTTTTTGCCAGTGATGAATAGGACCCGCGCCCCTGCGGGAGCGCCACTTACACGGGAAATCTGCGTGGCGCCGGGACGACAACGATATTTCGCTTGCTCGCGAGCGACCCCGCTGTCGACGAATTGGCGAGCCAGAATGCGTCAAAGCGGGAGTTTTAATCACAGGAGAAATGAGCGATGCGCTTGGTGAGAGCGACGTTTCGCTTTTTCGCGCGCGATGTGTGCGCCGTCCATGTTGAGCGGGGATTTTTGACTTTGAATGTTTGTTGATTAATTTCTCTCTGGTGACTAACATGGAGCAAGCAGATGAGATGGAACTTGTGGGTAGGGTCGATGTCGGGCGACTAATGGCAGCTGCTAAACACATATGCGTGTATAGATCTGTGTGCACGTTTGTACGTTTATGTGTGTGTATACTCACATCAACATATATATATCTATACATGAGCATAAACGGTTCTTGCATGTATGCGTGCGCACATAGTCATTATTTACTTTATATCAGCTTGTAAACATATGTTAAATAGACGTGTGTATATATACATATACACAAATATCCACACCCTGCGTCACGGCGGCCTGGCTTGGCCTTCGCCTCCGCCCCCGCCTCCCGCCCGTGGTGCCGCTCGGCTGCTGTAGCACGTAATCGCGCTCCAAGCCCGAGGAGTGGCGCTGTCCGGAGCATCCCTCAGCCCGAGCTCCCGCGGGCCCTCGAGCCGTGCGCACGGTGCAGTCGATTGATCGGACAGTGCAACTACCTGGTGACCAGGTCAGAGGAGGAAAAGATTCCGATGCCGCTACCTGTCCCTTGTCGCCACGGCTGGATTCGCCTCGCTACTGGCGACCTCCCCGACCGGTTCACCCGCTCGGCCCGAGCTCGCGGGTCTTCGAGCCGTGCACGCCGCACAACCGATTGATCGGGCAGTGCAAGTGCCATTTGATATGCATCGAAGAAGAGGAATACTGACAATAGTTCCCAACCATCCTGTGGTGTTGGGTCCTCGTTTTGAAGAGACGGTGCCCCGCGTTCCTCTCCTCTCCTCTCCTCTCCTCTCCTCTCCTCTCCTCTCCTCTCCTCTCCTCTCCTCTCCTCTCCTCCTCTCCTCCCTCTCCTCCTCTCCTCTTCACCCACCCAGTACACCGTTTCGTGGCTCCATAGGGAGCTCCACCGAAGGCCCCAGTGCCCGCGCCCGCATGCGTCACCCACACCCATTTCGGCACACCCCTCACACGTTTCGTGGCTCCATAGGGAGCTCCACCGAAGGCCCCAGTGCCCGCGCCCGCATGCGTCACCCACACCCATTTCGGCACACCCCTCACACGTTTCGTGGCTCCATAGGGAGCTCCACCGAAGGCCCCAGTGCCCGCGCCCGCATGCGTCACCCATTTCGGCACACCCCTCACACGTTTCGTGGCTCCACATCCACGGGGTTTCGTGGCTCCCTCCACCGAAGGCCCCAGTGCCCGCGCCCGCATGCGTCACCCACACCCATTTCGGCACACCCCTCACACGTTTCGTGGCTCCATAGGGAGCTCCACCGAAGGCCCCAGTGCCCGCGCCCGCATGCGTCACCCACACCCATTTCGGCACACCCCTCACACGTTTCGTGGCTCCATAGGGAGCTCCACCGAAGGCCCCAGTGCCCGCGCCCGCATGCGTCACCCACACCCATTTCGGCACACCCCTCACACGTTTCGTGGCTCCATAGGGAGCTCCACCGAAGGCCCCAGTGCCCGCGCCCGCATGCGTCACCCACACCCATTTCGGCACACCCCTCACACGTTTCGTGGCCCCATAGGAGCTCCACCGAAGGCCCCAGTGCTGCCGCCTGCATGCGTCACCCACACACAATTCGGCACACCCCTCACACGTTTCGTGGCCCCATAGTAGAAGCTCCGCCGAAGGCCCCAGTGCCCGCGCCCGCATGCGTCACCCACACCCATTTCGGCACACCCCTCACACGTTTCGTGGCTCCATAGGGAGCTCCACCGAAGGCCCCAGTGCCCGCGCCCGCATGCGTCACCCACACCCATTTCGGCACACCCCTCACACGTTTCGTGGCTCCATAGGGAGCTCCACCGAAGGCCCCAGTGCCCGCGCCCGCATGCGTCACCCACACCCATTTCGGCACACCCCTCACACGTTTCGTGGCTCCATAGGGAGCTCCACCGAAGGCCCCAGTGCCCGCGCCCGCATGCGTCACCCACACCCATTTCGGCACACCCCTCACACGTTTCGTGGCCCCATAGGGAGCTCCACCGAAGGCCCCAGTGCCCGCGCCCGCATGCGTCAGCCACCCATTTCGGCACACCCCTCACACGTTCGTGGCCCCATAGGGAGCTCCACCGAAGGCCCCAGTGGGTGTGCCCGCATGCGTCCCGCACACCCATTTCGGCACACCCCTCGTACGTTTCGTGGCCCCGTAGGGGGCTCCACCGAGAAGATATTCACAATTGCAGTATTCGCAATTGCATATGGTTGGGTCCTTCGCCAGGATAATTTTTTAGCTGAGAAGAAGTAACATGATCGGCACGAACATAGATGTTCGGGTCTCCGCGCGGATTTCTTGGATCTCCGCTGGAAGGCCCCTGGCGGCGCCTCGAGCGCCGACCTTGGCGCGCTCCGCGCCGTAGGGAGGGGGTTCAGCGCATATCCAAGAAGTGCCCGCGGGGCTCCGTAAGTTTGTTTATATGCCGATTTTCTTCTTTGGAAGCAAGGACGGATGGCCCAGTCCCCGTGCGATCCGCAAAACAAACAAGGTGCAGGGGGGCGGGTCGCGATTTTTTCGGCGCCCATGGGCCGTCTTCGAGCCCCCAGGGGCCATCTGAAGACAGCCTGGGATGGAAAACCCGTCCCCAGAGGATGGGGTCAGGAAGTCTGGGGGCCCCCATTCACGAACAGAACCATGACTTCGGATGCCGGGGTGGAAGAGGAGTGAGCGGGGTGTACAGCGCCACAGAGATGCGCGGTAGGGAAGGGTGCCAGGACCACGGGCGCCCGAGGCGAACCCTTTTGTGCGGAAGTGGCCAACGGTACTGGCCAAGGCAGGCAGCATGGCAGCGTGCGCAGCTGGGGCGACGGGCGCCCCACTCCGCCTCAGGAGATCGACGGCGCGGTGCGGGCGGCCGTGGCGCAGGCATGCTCGCCCCGCTTGAGCCTCGACTCTCGGGGGTCCGTGCGGATTTCTCGGATCGGCGTTGGGCCCCCCTCGCAGATGTGTGGAAGCACCAGAGGAGCTATTCCACAGGGGGGGGGGGCAAGTTGGTTTCGGGCACGATGTTGCCTCGTGGAGACAGCTCGTTCTTGTTTTGATTCAGGGGGCGCTTGTACCATATTTTTTCGGTGATGCATACTTGCAAAGACTTGGAAGTATAGCCTGTTGTCATGCTGATCGTTCTGACACGACTGCCTTATCAGGGATCCTTCATCTGTGACTCGGCGATTCCGCCGTTGTCGCGTTACAAGGCGAGCTGCAATGCCCAGGCCCCCTTATTCCAGCAGTCGTGGCAGAATAGGACCACCGATGAGAGGGTGACATGAGAGAGCCGGCAGGTCCTCGGCAGCCACCCTTTTGCCGTCGACCTGGTGGACGAGTGGTGCAACCAAATTTTGGAGCACAGCATCAAGCAAGGCCTCGTCCAGACCACTGTTCATCTTCTCTCAGTCCTTCCATCACCTTCGGCTCTTCTGCCAATTTTCCGATTTTGAGCCCCTGTTACTATGCTCCTCGCTCTTCTGTGTCATGCTTGCTCGTGATCAGCTGAAGCAGCCCGTAGACCCATCGAATATCTGATCCCCAGGAATTCGATATCGTAGGTCTCCTGGAAAGTCCCGCCCCCTTCCAGAGGGCTTTTTTTACCTCAGTCGTTCCTTGACGGTACAGGTGCCCGAGATGGGCCTCTGGTGGAGGCCGCGCTCAGGGAAAAGCGCCAACATTAAGAATATGAAGTCGGAGTGTTTCGATTCTTGCCGCAAAGCGCGTAGGAGCGGCGGCAGCGTCGGGGGAACCTCAGACGAGCGGGGGGCCGTCTGCATAGGTCGAGGCGTCGCCAATCTCAATATCTCGACGACAGCCTCGCCCAATCCGCACCGTCGAAGAAAAATGATTTCGATGTTTTCATGTGCGTCTTGCAGAATTGAGCCCGCGGAGACTGGCCGCCTAGACAGGGCTGGAGTAGAGCGGGCCAGATGATCGCGCCGAAACGATGGTGCATCGGGCATGTGGCGCGATTCGGAGCCCGATTTTCTCCATCCCGACGTCGCCGATGCAGAGGCGAGGCAACGTGATCCTCCGATCCTATTCTACTCCAGCCCCACTTGCACGGAGTGCATCTGGTCCAGCCCTTTGCGAACGGGTGACCTGACAGAACGTGGGCGGCGGAAAGGTATTTGGGCGACAAGGAGAGGCTCGGGCCACAAATCTCGGCGGCGTGCGCAAGGGGTGGGGCGAGAGGGGTGGCCTACGCTGGCATCTTAGGAGCTCTCCTGCCTTCTGAGAGGCCTTGTTCAAGGCAACGCCCCCTCGACCGACACCCGCCCAGTGAGGGGAACTCACTGGGTTCCCAGCGCTGTTAAGCCACGCGCGGCCTACATGCCCGGATGCAGTAGACATCCTTTATCTGCTCGTAAATCATTTGCCCTTCCTCCCATTTCAATGCCCATTACATCATACATGGACCAGAGATGGCACTTTCGAATATGATGTCGTTGCGAAATTCGGAGATCACCCCGCGGAGTTGGCTGGCATTGCAGAAATACCGCCAGTGTCCGTTATGCTCTTCCCTTTTCTGAATCCGTGGATCTCTTCCATCATAGGCAACCGTGACGTCGCCTTGAGCCACAGGGAGCGGGATGAGGAGGACGGGTTTGGGGAGTATGATGCGGAGCACGCGCAGTTGCCAGCTGGGGGCGACCCTTCAAGTACATCGGCACGTGCGTTGTATCGAGGTGCCTCCACTTGAAGATGAGGGTGGTAGCATGGATGTTTAGTCGCGGTGTTAGGGTGAGATGGGTGAGGCAGAATAAAGCGATATCCAGCCGGACCACCGATGAGGCATGCTTGACATTGATGTGGCTAGGGAAATATTGAAATCCGGAGAAAGTGGATGCACCCGTCCGCTCGGTGTCATTGCTAGCATCTCCCTCCAGTTTGGTCACCAGCGTATTGTCATCGGCCGTGTCGTCCTCGGAATACTTACGATCAGCGATTGTGTTTTGCCGCAGTGCAGTGTTGTCAAGTCAGTTGCCAGGATTGTTTGTTCGCTCTAGAGGGTAAGGTCTTCCACGTGGGTCCCAGGAGACCTACAAGGCCCAGAAGGTGGTTTGTCATTGCAAAAATCTAGGAAGCCATCGTGACTCGCTGGTGTCGCGCTTGGGGTTGTTGGGGTACAGTCAAGACGCTGATTTAACGAACTCTTTGGGCACAAGAGGGGCTGTGCTTTCGGGCCGCTCTTCAGCTGCAGATCCAGGAACCCACGTATTCGTGGCCGAGGCTCGCCGTATCCAGAGCATCTCTTCGTCGGCCCTGCTTTGGTGCTACTCGCGTCAGCACGATGACAGTTTCTTGATCCAGTCTGGGGGCCGTCTGGGTAGAGGATCCGACCACAAAGCGCTTCTCAGCCATGTACATGTAATGCGACGGCGTAGTCTTTGTAGGGTCAACGTTGCCAATGCAGGGTTGTTGTTGCGACTGCTCCGTCAGGTGGCGCAAGTGAGGTCTGGTCACTCAGCTCCGTGAGCAAAAGAAAAGTCTGGGGGCAATCGGAGGGCGTCTTGGGAGGCTCCGAGGGCCCCCCTACGGTGGGCGTCTCGAGGGCGTGGATTGGCCCTATCGACGTCTTGAGGTAGCAGGCGTGGAAAGGCAAAGGTGGGCAGACTTCTTTATTCCTTGCATGTGCTCGGCATTGAGAGGCCGTTTGAGAAGCATAGCTTTTGAGCTGAAGAACAACAGGTTTAAGCGACATATTCTCCAAGCTGAGAGTGTCAAGGAACCCAGACCGCCAGTGTGCAACAGCAATTCTTTGTATCCCTGAGGCCGTTGGAGCGTCGGGTTGCGTGGACAATATGAAGGCAGTCTCGCTTTTTTCGCTGAGCTCCCCTCAGGAGGCCCAAAGGTGCTCAATCGACAGTCGCCGCGACCTTTCAGGGCGCAGGAGTTGCTTGCACAAATCGTGTTGCGAGCGGCTCCTGTTCGGCCGTGGTCTCGCGTCGGATTTCCTCGAGATCGCGAGTTTGACACAGCTGTTAAGGCATGAGGTCTCCACGTCGAACTGCGGAGGAGTCGCGGCGCTGGGGCATTGTAGGAGCCGCGCTCGCGCCAGAAGACGGAGTGGAGGAGGCCGCGCGTGATCTGCTCTGTGGTTGGGGTTAGACTTACAGTCGCCGTCCACAATACGAAGCTGGCGATTTTCCAAGGATGCCCTCGCACACAGCCGGTCGCCGGGGGTTCGCGGCCAGCCCACGGGGGCCACGAGCTGCAGTGGGCCTCGCGCGCCGAGAGTCTGCGGCCAGCCCACGTGCTCCGAGCTGCAGTGGACCCCTTAAGCGGTTCCTGGCGACTCGCAGTGTGCATGTCAAGATGTTGGCCCCAGAGACCTTCTCATCCTCCACCCGCCATTCATCCATGCCTCTTCGGCCCATCCTCAGCCTGCTTCGATGGCCAGCCCCGGAGGGTACTCCTGCGGCGGGGTTGCGCTTTGGACGCCCAAGGGTCACTGCATCCTCACCCTGCGTGCTCGTGAGGGGCGGCCGTTTGTGTTTGGGGAGGGCTGGTCAGGTGGCAGCTCGCTTCCAAGTGCCGCCGCGCGGGCGCAGGCAGTCCCACGAGACGCTCGACACTGCTGCCACGGTCTCGCGCCTAGAGGACTCCTGCGACACCTCCCGGCCAGACCTCTGTTCTCTCAGCCGCGGGCTGTCCAGCGAAAGACCCCTCAGATCCTCGGGCAGGGCTGGGACGAGGATACAAATCCGTTCCAGAGCATTCCGGAACGCTCTCAGAGCGTTCCGGAGCGCTCTGCGAAGACCGCGGCGCCCGAGACATCTTCCAGAGCCGCCAGATCTCAGAGATTCTCGATCTATCCTCACGCGAATTTTTCCTCGTCCTAGCTTCGTCGTAGACCGGGGCGTCGCGCATAAATCGGGCTGACAAGTTTCAAACCGAAGGTGAAGCAAGTTCTGGGCCTCTGGAGGCCCGCTTCAAGAAAGGCCTGGGGTGAAACACTGGCCCTGGGGAATGGGTCGTGGGCCCACGTCACGAACAAATCGCGATGTCGGATATCCTGGATCCATGCGCGCCTTCAAATTAGATCGGGCCTGACAGGGCAGGAAGTACCCAGTCTTTTTGGGTTTGGCGCGTCTGTGTAGCGCCATATGGAGCGACGCAGTGTCTGATCTCGCGAGGCGAGGAAGCCTACTCGCCAAGATGATGGCCGATGTGTGGTGGAACTACCGTAGCACAAGTTTCGCGTTGATCATGCGCCACGGCATGGTCGATCTCACCTTTTGCAGGAGTCAGCCCTCGCCCAGCGAGTCTGGCTCCTATTGACAGTTTTTTTATGTAGTTTGTCTCTCTCCCCTTCCTCCGTTACACACTCAGCTCCCTGCATGGGGCTCACTTTTCGTTCCGACTGTGATCGCACCATAGGGAAATGACTCGGGTGCAATTCCAGGGAACTGTAACCGAACCGAATTCCAAGTCGCACGAACAACATCGGGATGCGCCGATACTAGTTAGTAGGGTATCGGCTGCATGACTGGATCACAGGGGAATATAAGGAGCCACCCCTCGAACCCAAGCGAGGAGTCGTTCGAGGCGTTCTAGGTCAAATGCACTTACTCGAAGACGTGACTATTCTGCAAAGATAACGGCCGTAATAACCAAGCACCAGACGCCGAGACGATTGTAGAGACAGAGAACACGGCGAGCGCGTCGCAGGCCCCTCGTGACTCCCGATCTGAGCTGTCGCGCACACGTGCACGCACACGGGCGCACTGGTGCGCGCATTGTGCAGGGTAAGTGGTGGTGGCGATACGATGACAGCGGGTCTCGATCCAACCCTTTCAGACCCCGTCCTCTGCCACCTGTCGTCCCCTTCCGCCTCCTCCCCCTTCCCTCATCCCTCTTCCCCGGGAGGCCGCTGTGGGTCTCGGGAGGGCTTCAGAGGCCCCCAAAGGTCTGCAGAAACCCCTGCAGGCCCCTGGAGGCCTCCAGAGGGCTAAGAGAAAGAGAGAGAGAGAGAGAAAAAGAGAGAGAGAGAAGACTTGGCTCCGTAGCCATTTTGGCTCAGGGCCATGAGACACCCGACGACCGCGAGTCCCTCGTGGGCGTCCCTGGAGCGCGAGGGGTCTCGCGCTTTAGCCGGGGGTCTTTGCAATTTCTCGGCCATCGCTCCAGGCCGCGGCGGGCGGCCGCCCTGTTCTCTCTAGCTGTGCTGGGGGCGCTCTGTCTCGGAGAGTGCAGGCCATGGCTGGGGGCGCTGGCGGCGGCGTGCGCGGCGGAGGTGCCAGCGGCAAGTCAGGGGGGCCTGGCGGAGGGCCACGTAGCCTCGGGTCTGGGGCTGCGGCCACGGCAGCTGCCGGGTGCCCCTGGTGCTGCAAGTCCTGCAGTGTGCCAGACGCCGAAGGCTTCAGGAAGCTCAACTTCGGCGAGCGGCTGCAGTGCAAGTGGTGCAACATGCTGAAGAGCACCCACTTTTGCGGGAAGCCCGAGCATGCGGCGCCCTCGCGCAGCAGTGCCCAGGTCAAGCTCGCCCAGGTGCTCGACCAGCTCAAGAAGTTCAAGGCGGCGGCGGACCAGCCTGGGCCTGGTGGAGGCTCCTCGCCTGGGGGAGGCGCAACCACCTGGCGAGACGGCGCAGCAGCGGACCCGAAGCGCCAGCGCATGGAGCAGCTGGAGAAGCAGCTGGGCGAGATTCGGCGCTGGGCGGACATGGAGGATGAGGTCGATGACTTCGTGGAGGCTGCCCGCAACAGGAAGGCCAAGCTCGAGGCGGAGCGCGAGCAGCTGCGCCAGGAGGTCTTTCTGGCCAAGCCAAAGGATGTGCAGCTCGAGAGCCTCGCGGACCAGATCAAGAAGCTGGAGAAGCATCAAGATAAGGGCCGCGAGGAGATGGAGGCAGTGGCGGCGAAGCAGAGGGAGCTCGAGGCCAAAGCCGACGCGCTGCGCCTGGCGGACGTCGAGCGCGAGGCAAGGCTGGTCGAGCTCAGGGCGGAGCAGTCACGCACGCTGGGCAAGTTGGCGTAGCCTCCTGCTGTGGTGCATGATGGCCTGGAGGGCGAAATCGAGGTTGAGGGCCTCAAGTTCTCCGCTGACTTCCTGGGCAAGGTGCTCGGCTCGTTCGGGGTCGATGGGGCCCTGCATGCGTCTTTGCTGGAGCAGGCGACCAACTTCGAGCAGCAGTGCCGCGAGGCCAGGGCTGCGGAGGCTGCAGCGGGAGCAGCCGCCAGGGCGACTGAGCGGGCCGGCGTGCCTGGAGCGGGCTCCCCTGAGGAAGGCCGCGCCCCGATCCCTGGAGAAAGGGGTCCCTGCGGGGTGCGACGCCATGGGCGACGAAGAGCTGGACGTCGACGCGCAGCTCAGCTTCCTCACGAAGGTGGGGGCCGCCCCAGCTGGGGCCGAGGGCAGCGATCGCCCTGCTGATGATGACATGCGTGAGGCCTTCAAGCGGTTCTACGCCGACCTGGGCATGTTGCCGCCCAAGCGGGCGCGCACATCGGCCTGAGGGCCTATATGGTGCCACGGCGGGCATCGGCGACAGGTGGGAGGCCTACTACAACGAGTTGCACGAGGCTGACGAGCAAGCTGCCCTCGTCCTGGGCGGCTGCAACTCCTGGGGCGCGGACGGATGCCCGAGCCAGGGGGCCAGGTGCAGTCTGGTCGCAGCGCGGCAGGGGCTGCTGGGGGCACGGCGCTGGGGCAGCAGCACGCGGGCGAGCCGCAGGCGCGCGGCGCTGGGGCAGCCTTCGGAAGGGATGGGAGGCAGCAGGCCCCATCGGGGCTGCTGGCGGTGTTCGGCTTTCACGGGTGCGGCCCCAGGATGTCAGAGTCGGCTGACCAGATGGGGCAGCCGCAGGTGTCGGCCTCAGGGCACGGCCTGCATGGCGCGCCTGGAGGTGACCTCTCGGGAGGGGCGGGCCTTCAGACCCACTCTGGGCTGATGGAGGTGTTCGGCCGTCAAGGGTGCGGCCCCGGGATGTCAGAGATGGTTGACCAGGAGGGCGTGCCCGACTGGCAACCGCGGGCGTCGGCCCCAGGGTGCGGCCCAGGGGGGGAGGGGGGGGGGCGGAGGGATTCAGCCCCTCGGTGTCGCAGCCTCCCCCCCGCGTGGACTACGCCATCGGCAGCTCGTTGGAGGCGGGCGAACTGGAGATCGACGAGTTCGACATTCCTGCAGGCCAGGAAGGCAGCAGGCACCGAGATCTCGCTTCGGAGGGCCCTGCAGTCTGCCCTGCGCGCCCCATGCAGAGCTCGAGCCCACCGCTCACTCAGCCCCCGTAGCCGCGGGGCGGCGCCGCCCTCCCGCGAGCCCCTGCCCAGCCAGGCTCGCCGCCAGGTTGTGCTGGCCCGCCGCGCGACCGTGGAGGCCAGCGCGCGCCCGTGGTCAAGGGCGGCTGCTGCCTGGCCACTGCCAATGTGACGTCGCGGGGGCCGCTGAACGAGTGCCTCGTCCAGGCGGATGGCCAGGCCACCCTTGCTTTGGCCGTGCAGGAGCATCACTGCGTGCCCTCGCGACGCAGCAGCGGGCAGCCGAGGGTGCAGGGTGGCGCGGGGTCTGGAGTGCTGCTACACCGTCCACTACCTCGGCGACGGGGTCGGTGGGCGGAGTCGCGGTGCTGGCCCTTATTTGCATCCAGCTGACAGGCCCCCCTGGGCGGGGCTCGCACGTGATCGTGCCTGGTCGCCTGGTAGCTGGGCATGTGCGAGCGGGACCTCGAGGGGGAGTGGTGGTGCTGAGCGTTTACTTGCACGTAGGGGGAGGGCCTCTCGGCGAACAATTTGGACATCCTCTGGCAGCTGGCCCAGTACCTTGGCGCCCTGGAGGCAGAAGGCCATCGCTGGGTGGCCATGGGCGACTGGAACATGGAGGCGGACGTCCTTGACTTTGGCTGGATCCGCAAGCTACGCGCGCAGGTTCGAGTCGCAGTCGCCCCCACATGCAGACAGGGAAGCGGCTCCAAGATCGACTACTTCGTGGTGTCCAAGAGCCTGGCGGGCTTCACCGCGGCGCCCCCGCTGCTGGACAGGGGGGGCAGCACGTGGCCCCACTGGCCCGCCCACCTGCCCCTGCGGTCCGCGCGGGTGGGGGCGTGGCGTCAGGTCCTGGGCGAGCCGAGGGCTGTCCCCAGGGGGCCCGCCAAACTTGGCTGCGCCCGCGGCCCGTGGCGCTGGAAGGAGGTGGCGCGCTGTCTCCAGGCCACGCACGACGACCAAGGCCTGCAGATCATCTGGGACCTGCTGCTGGAGGGGGTCGAGACGGAGATCCTCAACAGGCGGGACCTCGTGGGGCCCGCCCGCCGTACCTTCGCAGGGCGTGGCGCGAGCGGGGCAGCTGCTGGCTTGAAGTGGGAGGTGGCTCAGTGGAGACCACCCCAGAAGCGGAAGCTGCGGGGGCAAGAGGCCCATGCCTGGGCCGCGCTTGCTGGGTGGGCGTCCGAATTCCTCAGCAAACGGGGCCGCCGGGTCAAGCTGCTGGCAGCTCTGGATAGCCACAGACACAAAGAATGCAGACAGGCGGCGGCGGCGAATGGCAAGTGCATGAGGTCGATTGCGGCCGCCCTGGCGCACCTCAGGATGTTCCTGGAGGACATCAGGGACCACGTGCACTGGCGCAGCCTGCCGCCGTGGACACT